TACTCAGCATCGTCCTCATTTTTCTTCTTGCGCCAGGCTATGACATACCTATGATTAAATTGCTTTACTATAATCAATCTGCTCCACCCATCAACATTCCGTCTTTGTTTATTTTTTATTTATTTATTTTTTTTTTGTTTCTTACTGCCACTCCCTTTATTCAAATAATCAATAGGACTAACAATTGTATAGAGACCTTTTTATCGGTTGCACCTGTCAATGGCCTTGCCACAAGACCACTTATACCCAACACACACTTTTAATCAAAAAACCACAATGGTAATAAGTGCTTAGGATCTGTTTACGTCTCCTCTGCGGGATTACGCGGTCCTGCTAACAGCAATTTCATTATTTATTTGGCTTTACCAGAATTGTGGCCCGCTTGGCTATTCATACTTTTAAAAGATTAAGAATTCCATTCAAGAGTGTAATGAAATTTATCAAACCCAGAGCATTCAAGACGTGTGACAAGGTAGGAAAATAAGATGAAGGATGAAATTTTTTATTTCTCTTCTCTGTCCCCCTTTTGTTACATCCTCTTCTTCCTCTTTATTCTTCTTCTCCCTCCTTATCCTTCTTTCTTTTCCTTTTTTTTTCATGCTTTCTTCTTCTTCTTCTTCTTCTTTATCCTTTCTTTTTCTTTATCCTTTCTTTTTCTTCATCTTTCTCTTCTTTTGGTTCTTTAGCCTTCTCTTCTTTCTCTTTCTTCTTTTCTTCTTTTCTTTTTATCTTTGGTATAAACAAGGACTACAATAGATAACTGGTTAATACGAAATGATGAGATAGGTAAACAGATGTGAACAAACTGAAACAAGTCGATAGAAAACCCGGATTTTAATTTTTATAGCAGGCAGGCCTTGCTCACTTGGAAGATTAGTGAAGTGGGTTGAGCCGAAAACATTTCATCATCCATTTGTATAGACTCTCAGGCAAAATCAAATTGCAGAACTTGGAAGGACGGTGACGATTTTTGACCTGGCTACAGTATGTTCATGATAGGGAGTACTAGCTCACCTACAACCCTTCTTTTATTTTGTTAACATGAGCAAGGAGCGTAGAATAATGTATCACAGGATGGCATCCGCCATCTGTCCGATCGTATGCATGTGAGTGTACATGCCTAAGTTAACGCCCAAGGAAGATATACAGTCTATTATCATGGTGTCTGGGTGCTGTTGATAATCATCGGACGAATGTAATGTTTGTGTTGAGTGTAATTGTATATGTGTATGAAATGGAGGGGAATATGAAAGCCTTTTTAACTTTGAATTCATTTTCCTAACATCGTTCTGATATATAAAAAATTATATAGCATCTTCTATCTCTCTCTCTCTCTCTCTCTCTCTCTCTCTCTATATATATATATATATATATATATATATATAGAGAGAGAGAGAGAGAGAATACATATAGAAAAGAATATGTGTATGTATATATAGTGCTGTGCAAAGGTAAGTGAACGCATAAGATAATATTTTTTTTTTAAATTGTCTCTTTTTTCCAGATAAACAACAAAACTTAATTAAACTATATATTCATTAAGAAAAACCTTTTATTAAACGAATTATAACCGCTTTCAAAAAATGTTATCAAGCTGGAATAAAAATATTGTGTCAAAGTAAATGAACCTTTACTTTTACACTCTGTATTTTCGTTTTACATGTTTGCCACTGCAAATACTTTTGGCGCAAGTGTAAAAATCAAAATGATACGTGTTAATTTTAATAAGATTCGATGTGGCACTCTCGAGAATTTTCCGTCTAAGTAAATTAATTTCTCTTTTAATAAGTGTAACATTTTTGCTCTTGTTTACTTGTTACAAAATAAAAGAGGACGAAACGCGTCGGCTAAGATAAGCTTTCCTTCTGTCTTTATTCATATTTTCCTTTTACAGATATACTCTATCTGAAATTTTACACATTAGCACACACACGCATATATATATATATATATATATATACTCAGTAGTATATATATAAAGAGAATAGATAACTTAAAATATGTAGCCCTTATCATTTACATGAAGAATAATGCATTGAAATACATGTAAACACTTCTAATATTCAAATTATTTCATATATAACGCAGAGAGAAGCTCACAAAATCCAGAAACAAAACAGAAAATAGCATAAATAATCCAGATAGATAGATTGGTATATCATATCTTATACACACACACATATATATTTATCTACCATATATATATATATATATATATATATATATATATATATATTCGACTCTCTCGTCGAATTCGACGTATGAGAGTCAAGCAGATCAGTTCCGATACCAGCACATGAGATTTGATTATAGTGGTAAAGGTTTTGTGTAGAACCATCCACACTTTTTGAAGGGCCGAATACAGAGACCTGATGCACTACGTACCACAAGGTCCCCAAACGACACTCAGCAGATTTTGAATTCAGAGTTGTCCTTCTCCAAGGCTATAGAACCTAGTTTATCCTGCTATTTACCCATAGCTGGGGAGAGAAGAGGATTCATACTTTTCCCAAGGGTATTAGCGCCGTAAGTGAATGCAATGGATCCGAGTGGAATTCGAACGAACTCGGCTCTCCGATTCCTCAATCCAAGCCGGTATCCATTACTCCACTGTGCTTCATATATATATATATATATAAAGCGCATACATATATTTATTTATTTACCAGCACACATACTTACACATATAACCATTTCACGCCAAACAATGCAATAAAGCCACTAAGACTCAAGGGTCATTAGCGAAAGTGAAGAAAACCGAGAAAACGTTACTCTGAAGAAAAGACAACAAAAAGAACAGAAACCAAGAAGACAGAAGATAACTATATATATATATATATATATATATATATATATATATATATATATATATATATATATATATATATATATATAATTTAAAAACATGCATATTTAAGTTATTTCCACAAAAAGGCAAAAACGTAAACTATAAAAAGCAGACGTAAACTATTTCTACCTACATTTAAAATAAATATGTCCAGCTTCATCGTCGCCCGGATGTCAGCAATATACGCTTGTTTCCGGAGGAAATATTCAGAGATTGACCGACAGTGGAAGTAAAATTCAACTTTTGACGCTAACATCGATTCCCACGCATTAGTATAGTATAACAAGAGTTTGCTTGGTCAATACCAAACCGATTACTGTTTTAAGGGTCTGGCTTTAACATTAGTGTTTTACTCTAAAACGTAGTCTCCTTTTGTATTCATTGCACATCAAACAATACGGCAGAACTCCTCTATATTGTACTTTCCTTCGTCTATTCCTACGCATTCATTTTATTTTAGCAGTCTTGCTAATCTCCAGGCGAATAACTCATTGCGCCTTCTTAGTCTCATGAATCAATTCCTAGGAAAGTTGGTCCATTGTGTAGTGGCAAATAATTTTTCTCGCTAGAATCCATCTTGCAGATTTATAAATCTACCATCCGTACGTGCATTGAATATTGCTGCCACATCTGGTCTGGTACTCCTGCTATACATCGTGAGATTCTCGATAAAATCCAATGAAGAGTGTAATGTTATCGGTTCTGACCTGGCATCTTGATTTTAGTTGTTTTCGAACCACTGTGACATAGCTTCCCTGTGTCTTTTCTATAAGTATTTTCATGGTAATTGTTCTAAAGAGCTTTCCTCCTTGGTATGTCAATCGCATGAATTTAAGCGTGCTACTAGATTGACAACTCAGTCTCATCGTTTTACTGTTAAAATATCTAGTGGTAAACGTAGGTTCGATTCTAATAGTTTCTTTTCTCGCCAGTGGAACACACTCTCGCTTCCATTCCATCTACAATATTCAAAAGCTTAAACGCAACACCAATCACCATCTTCTGTCTTCCTGAAACATGTTCTTTTATTGTCTTTTTTCCTTTTCTTTCACTCTTAGTAACCTCTTAGTGGCTTGGGTGAAATGATTAAACAAATATGTATATATTAAGGTGACTTTATTGTATAAATAAATAATTATTATATTATTTAATTATGTATTTTTTTACGTTTTAATCTTTTTCATTATTCAAACTTAACATACAATAGGATGATATATGATTTAATGCTATTGTAAAGTGATTTCTTTTAATAGTTTATTCAGTGTCGGATTAGCAATACTAATTGGATCAGCGAAATTGTATCATTACTTTAAAAATCGAGTGCCAAACTTAAAAACAGAGTGGCGCTCTATAGTAAAACATGTATATGGCTAAAAGAAATTACCAAATAAGAAATAGCAAAATGTTTACATCTTTTTTTAATCATTTCACCCAAAGCAATGCCGTAATTAAACTAGAACGCAGCGAGTGAAAGAGAATAAGAAGACTGAGAATAGGTACGATTGAGGGAAGCGTTCAAGAAAATAGAAGATAGCGATTGACGTTGCATTTAAATTTTTGAAGATTGTAGCTATCAGGAAAAAAAGAAAATCGAAGAGAGTCCCACGGGTGGGAAGTGCGAGCAAAGAAATTATTGGAGTAGAAGTGGCGATTGCATTTAGCTATTTCAACAGTAAGACGGTGGGCCCTAGTTGCCAATCTTAGTAGCACGCTTAAATTCATGTAGTCTGGACACCAGGTGAAAAGTTCGTCAGGGTAGTTACCATGAAAATATTTATAGAAAAGACAGAGGGAAGCCACGTCACGTTGGTGAGAAAGTGACTGAAGTCCAGATGCCTGGTCAGGATCGATTACATTACAGATTCTTCTTTGGATTTTGTCAAGAATCTCGAGATGTAAAGCAGGAGCACCAGACAAGATATGGTAACAGTATTCAATGCACGGACGAATAATTTATAAATGTGCCCTTGATAAGAAAAATCTTTTGGCACGACACAGTAAACCAACTTTCTTTGCAGTAGACGAAGCTGTGATTTCGATATAGTCACTCCACTTCATATCATTTCAATTGAAATATTATCGTACTTAAAAAATAATTTTGTTTTAATATAATATTCTATTAAGTGAACATTTTTAGCTAATATACTTGGGCTTACGGTCATATAACGTTAAAACACCGGTTCTCGTACGATCACTGAAGTTAAGCAACAGTACCTCGGTACTTAGATGGATGACAGCTTGGGAATACCAGGTGCTATAAGCTTTGATGTGCGGATGGTGTAATAGATAACGCCTCTGAATTGGAAATCGGAAAACCAAGTTTCAATTCCAGTTGGGTTCTTTATATTCACATACGCGCAAATATCCTTGGGAAAGGTATGAATCCACCTCTTATCCCCCAACTATACGTTAATTAGTAAGATTTGTATCACTAAAATCATTATGATCTCAAAAAACTTCTGGCTTTAAAATATCATGCAAAAGGGTTATAACACGTAAAAAAATCTAATATCATTATTATATATAAAAATGTTCAATGACAATTTAAACATTTACTAATAAAACATTAGAAAAATACACAATTTAAGAACAAATAAACCTCGAAGGTCTGTTTTCGAGCTAACAATTATTTTTAAAATGCCCCTTTTCTTTTATTTGATATTTATTGTTGACTGTGAAGTGTACTTAAGCCAATTCCCGAAACCGATTCTTTGATAAGATGTGCAACTGCCAAACGGCGATTTCGAAGCGGCAATACACTTTAAAGTATCCCAAACCATGTCAGAGAGTGGGAGAATTTGAAGGAAGAAGCAAACATTATCTTAACAGCCACATGTATAAGCTGGGTCATTATGGCGATAAAATTAGAGCATATCCTTATATGAATATGGAATCTCTTATGTTAAATGAAGTGCTGAGAATGATTTCGTCTATGCGACTAGGAATGAGCCGAGAAAATCTGCATATTAGTCGCCACTTCTTGTCTGTTCGTCACCCTTTATTCATCATCCCATCATTTTCCTGTAGGAGAGGGCTAGTGTTAATCCCTGATGTCTGAAGTGTCCCAAAATGGAAATTGCGAGGTAGGGTGCAATTTTTGTTTTTAATTTCATTTACGCGTGTGATTCCTATTTTAAGCCCTGCCTTGTACCAGATTCCGTTTGAGTGGGAGAGTGATTAAATACTCATTTTTCAGAAAAGAAAAGAAAGTGACCCGCTCGCTTTTTCCTCGCGGATTGTATAATTTTCTCTTCTTTTTCTTTTTTAATCATGTCACCCCAAGCAAAGCGATAATACCACTAGAGTGCAGGGCATTACAGAGAATGAAAGAAAATGAGAAGGTTTTAGACAGGAGAAGTGAGGTAAAGAGAATAAAGAAACAGTGTTAAGGAAGACAGAGGATGGCAATTGACGTTGCATTTAAATTTCTAAAGATTGTAGGTCGCAGAGAAGCAAGAAATTGGAATGGAATTCCACAGGTGAGAAGTGCGAGAAAATAAACTGTTAGAATAGAAGTGACGGTTGTAACTACCTAGTACATTAGTAAAACATTGAAACCTAGTTGCCAATCTAGTAGCACACTTAAATTCATGTTGTCAATGCACGAAGGGAAAAAACTCATCAGAACAATTATCATGAAAATAATTATAAAAAGACAAAAGAGGTTGTCGAATTGATCGACTGAAGTGTTGTTATAACAAAAGCAATACAAAGAATGAGTTTAATCGTCCAAACAGCTCTTGAAATCCATTAGATTTTTACTTTTTTCAGGATTACGTTGCCTAAATTGCTGATTTTTATGTGTGTATTATTTTTATTATTTTTTAGGAACATGCGTCTTTATCATAAATACTTTGGAATCGAATCCTTATTTCAATTACCCGTTGCCAGTTTAGGACATGCTGTACATTTAGCAACAGAATTCCTGTAATTAGATAGCCTAATGTAAAATCAAGCTCTTTGGAATCTCATGACACTATCTTTGAGGGTTGGGCCAGGTTTTGTTGACTCATGGCAAAAACGAAAATCACAAAGTATTCGGAATATCTTACCAGGTATGATTTCAAAAGCTCACCTTCTTTCGCAAAATACTCGCTTGGGGTTACATGTCAGCTTTGTTGAGAAATGGTAACAGTGGGTTTGTACTCAGGGAAGAGGATAAAAGATTTCGGATAAGTAAATTTCTTTTCACGAATACTTGAGTTTCTCGTTGGTGTAAAGTGTGAGCGCATGAGAACTGTAGAACGTGCGTCCGTGTGTGGACACTGGGGTCTGTATGAATTGAGGCTTTCTCTGAGACGCAGAGAAAGTAGATTAGGTCGTTCGAAAATTTTGTTCGAGTTAAGTAAAAATGTAAAACTTGGATTTTTTTTTTTTTTTTTTTTTTTTTGTTAATTTTCGACATTAATTTTCTTGACCAACATATTAACCTTCTGCCATTTTTCAAACAATTTCATAATTCCGTTCTCCCCATTTATTTTTTCTCAGCATAGAACTACTCTATATATCTCCCAGGGAATTGATTTTTTTTTTTAATTAAGACAATCCAGTAAAAAACAGAACAAATAAAAATCAAAGGGTGAGTACACTGAATGAATAAAAACTTTTCAAATCAAATTGCAACCATTTTTATATACATTTATATTATTTACATGTGGACTATTTTTTTAATCATATCACCTCCAGCAAGGCAATAATGCCACTAAAACGCGAAAATGGGAGTAAAAAAACGCAAAACTGGGAGTGAAAGCGAATGAAAAGACTTTAGGAGAAGAGACTGGAAACCCAATCCTAAACATGAACCAAGAGATAAACTTCTACTCCTGTTCAAAAAACGGGAAAGGAGTATGAACCGGGCGATAAGCGAACCTATCTACTCCTATTATATTTGTTGTCCTCATTCTTTGTTTTTGCTGTCACAACGTTTCGTGTCCTCAGGCCTTCTTCAGATGCTTGTTGATTGAGGTAGCATTCAAGAAATTTCAAAACGAGCACTTTATTTAATCTACGACGGTATATCGTTCTCGTTCCACTGACCATGTCTAGGGATCTTCCATCTAATTCTTATTTAGTACTTCTCTGTTACTTTTCGCCCCGTTTCAACTGACTCCAAGTAGACACTGTCAGGCTCATTTTGCTGACAGCATTTGATTTTTGCATTTTAATTGAAGATGAGAATCGGCACAAATGAAATATATTTACTGAAGTGTCACGCAGCAAAGAATTTAAATGAATATTAATAGAATTTGCTCTGTGACTACCAGGAGTAAAACATGAAAGCAATTTAAGAAAAATAAGATCTACAAAACAGCTGATATTTATAATCAGAAAAAGACGGTAGAAATTTCTGAGACACATTATGAGGAAACGCAGTCTGGAGAAGTTAAAACTCACATATACTGAAGACATGAGAAGCAAGGATAAACAGCTAGTAATCTACTTAACGAGTTCATGCGATCGGATGACAAATCAATGACAAATCAATGATAAATGGGGCTGGTAAAGTATCAGAAGTTACACAGAGTAACGAAAGACAAGAAGTTGTGAAAAGCCATGATCACATTCGTCTTGAAAGGACATTAATATATTTTCCATTCAATGTGTCTAATGCAGAAATATCAACTTTATTTGGATTATTCTTGAAATAATAAAAGTTGGAAGTCAGTTTGTCAGCAAAATCCTGCAGATATTTCTGTACATTTTTTTCAGACGATCTCTAAAACTAAATGCTCCAAAAGTAGTAAAAGCTATTAATCTACTTTTTGGTATCAGCACTTATTACATCAAATTCCAGATTTTACACCGAGTGCAATGTTGATTTTCTAAAAACAGTGAAAAATCAGAAAATTGCCTTAATGGTACATAAATGAAATAATATTTTACTAAAGTAGTTAAATAAAAAGAAAACATTTTATAGATATTTTATAAGAAGCGAGAAAAGTTTGTTATATTTATATAATTAGGTTAATGTAAAAAGTCCCGATGATTTTGCACTCGTTGTTCTCTGGACTTGGTTTGATGTCCTTGTCATAGTGTAATAAATAACATGAAAATAATGCTAGTCATTGCTCAGGATTTTATTCTTAACTGAAGGCTTCTTGAATGTAACCTGAAGTGCTTGTCACAGCGCGATGGTTAGCTTGGAAGAACTGAAAACTATTGCTGGGGAGTTCAGAGCTCACTGCAAGCTCCCCGAAAATAGTCTGTCAAGTACCAGTTGGAACATTTAAATAGAATGTGTTTAACACGCTGGCTATAAAGTTACGACAAGAGAATTAGTTACACAAATTATTATTTGTCTTAAAAAAAATAAGATTAAAGAATTCCCCAGAAAATTGCACAAGATACAGAGCAAAAATAAAAATAAAAAAAAGTCCTGGGAAGACGGAATTATGAAATTGCCTGAAAGATGGCAGAAATCAGTGGAATAAAACGGTAAAATTTATACAATAAAGCTAATTTAAAAAAAAAATATGTAATAAACCAAACGAAATTTTTGGCTAACTAGTTAAAATATTAAACATTTTCTTTTTTCTAAATGTTTTCATGAGAATATTTGAACGACACGTGACACCTGATCGATTGCAAAAGCAATAAAAAAAACTGCGTAAACAACAAAAATACGTCTAAGATTTTCTTTAGCATTGTGCAAAATACGTCAGTCGGAACGGTTGCATCAATCCTGTAGAATGAGTAAATGGACTGTGGCCTTCAATGTGGCATGTTCATAAGCGAATTAATCGGGAATGAGCATTATCTGGTATTCATTTCTAATCCTGGTTCATGTAAGGTGGCTCAGGCAGTAAACTACAAACGCTGGACTCATATTTTCTTGTGTATAATACGAGACATTTTGAACGAAAATTAAAGGCAAAAAGTATGGCTCGTATTATGCACAAGTACACATTTTCAGAAATTTTTACCAAGCTTAAATTACGTCTTATTCGAAACAGCAAGATTATACACAAGAAAATACGGTAGATGAAAAAAGAAAAAACTTTTTCTCAACCAAAGGAAACAGAAACCAAACTTTTAAAATATTTTTCAAATACTAAGTAGACTACGCCGTAGCCCGAATGCAATTGGTGATGCAATTTTTATATAGTGATGGCCAAAAGTCACTTTACCCATTTCCAATAATAATAAACACAAATTTCTAAATGATTTAAAAATGATTTAAAAACAGATAGATGGTAAAAAAGTGGGCGCCCGAAACATGTGAATACCGACAAAAATAAAGAAAATGTAACTGTTATATT